TGTTTTGTTGTTGAGTAAAAAGAGCTATAACGAAAAGTACTGAAATAATGACAGCAATTCCTTTCCTTTATACGTTTGACTTGGTATTGACCTCATCGCTTCAATGCGGAGGATTTATATTCTACTCGTCACACAACGTAAAAAATGTATTTCAGCAATCAGCAGCATTTGTTTGTTAGTTTTGACGTTTGTTAGTTTGCGCCGTAAGAGGAGTATGTTCAATATTGGCCAAAATTGAGATCTTTAAAATCTACCTATTGGTTTAAAGAAAAGGCAATTCCGTCTGTGCCATTTTTTGATTATTTTCTTTGGGTTTAGTTGTTTTGAAATACTATATATAGGTTCTCTTATCTTATCTTGGTGAGAGAGCTAAAGGTCAAATCATTCAAACTGTGAGTGGGTCAGGTTTTTCTTAAACATGAGAAATCACATCCATAGTAGTTGACCGGGCATGTCTCTCCGTAAGGGTTTCAAAATTAGGAATAGCAAAGGCCCGAGGACGGACCCCTGTGGTACTCCGACGTCACTGCTGAGACGCTGTTGTTAGCTTTGTTTTCTGTTGGATTAAGATGACACAAACCATAACAGAGAGTACGTCCAAAAGTTGAATTGAGGGTTTTGCCAATTGTTTTTGCTGGTTAATTGTGTCCAACGCCAAAATGTTCCCAAATTTTAGGAAAGAACAGCCCTCTCCACAGTCATGTATCACATATCACCAGAATGATTCACATTAGGAGAACCCATGTCTTGATGATCCACCCGGAAATAGAAAATCAATGGAGTTTTTTCAAAACTCCATTGATTTAATGGGAGCCGTCAAAATGACTGCTCTGGGAGTTCTTGTAGATTCAGAATTCTGGCAGTCCTAATGCTAAGATATAAAATTGTTCACCTTCTAGTGTTGGCCTTCTCTGTAGAACGATTTAGTCTCAAACTAAACTGAATTAATCGATTTTCTTTGCATTCTCCTGTCATTTTATTTGGAAAAATATACATATTACTTATCAATCTATAGTCACGGCTGAAAAGTTTTCTGGAACACAACTCTGGGAATCACGTCGATGGAAGTTGACCAGACATAAATAAGGGTTTCATTGATGGACCAAATAAATACTTCCAACCGCCCAAATACTACATCATTCCCACTATTGTCTCAAACCCAACCTTTTCAAGCCCACATCTGTCTTCACTCCCGCGCTATCTATATAACCTTACTCACTTGTTACCGCTCAGAGGGATAGCGCGCTCTGACAGAACCAAGAAATATAGCCAGCAATCTGTCTTTGAGAAATGATTCCCGTAGCGAAAGACATTAAGTGATAAGAATGAGTGAACCTCCGCACTGAAAGGTCAAATAAAAACGCAGGCCGATCCGAAAATGGAGTATCTTTCGGGGGCAAGTCCTTAGCATATTCTTCTACTGTACCGCACGAGAGCACACGGAGGTGAAGGTGATTATCAAAACTACTGCAGCGTGGATGGGAGAGAAGTGCTTTATTTCACAGTGGATCTGAGCTGGGCCAGGATGGCAGAGATAACCGTGGCGGCGGCGGCGAGCAGACAGCGCCGTCAAAATTAATGTGCTCGGCAAAAGAACAGATGTTTGGAGCCGTCAACATGTTTATAACATACCTCACGTGGCAAATATTTCTTCAATGTTAAGTTTATATCACCGGGACGAGATGATAGAATGTGTTTGCTCTCTGGATCTGACCCATACGTTGTTTTAGGGTCAATGAGAGAAATATTATTCATCCCACATGAAGAGAAACACAACACTTTCTAGTCATACTGTGTGTGTTTGTTTTGATTAACTATAGTTCAAGCACGTCCAACCTCCTCACTGGTCTCTCTCTGGTCTCTCTCTCTGGCGCCTCTCTCTCTGGTCTTTCTTTCTGGTCTCTCTCTTCTCTTGCTCCCTCTGGTCTCTCTCTTGTGTCTCTTTCTCTCTGTCTCTCTCTCTCTGGTTCCTCACTTGTCTCTCTCTGGTCTCTCGTTGGTCTCTCTCCCTCTTTTGTCTCTCTGTCTGGTCTCTCTCAGGTTTCTCACTCTTATTTCTCTCTTGTCTCTCTCTTGTCTCTCTCTGTGTCTCTCTCTCTGGTCTCTCTCTTATGTCTCTTTCTCTCTCTCTCTCTGCTCTTTCTCTGGTTTCCCTCTGGTCTTACACTCTCTCTGGTCTCTCTCTGGTCTTTCTTTCTTGTCTCTCTCTGGTCCCTCACTTCTTTCTCCCTCTTGTCTCTTTATCTCTCTCTGGTCTTTCTCTAGTCTCTCTCCCTCAGGTCTCTCTGATCCCTCTGGTCTCTGTGTGTTCTCTCTCTGATCTCTCTCTGGTCCTTCTCTCTGGTCTTTCTCTCCAGTCTCTCTCTTGTCTCTATCTTACAATTGTCTGCTGTAGAAAAACCGAATAACCTTAGAAACAAATCTAAACTGGTTAGCATTACCAGAACAGAGCAACAGCTTTGATTTGTGTTTGAACGATAACTTAGCTTTTGTCAAACCCAAGCATCACCAAAACCCAGCGAGTGGTTTAACGCCACCGCTGCCACCACATGTGATGTCGCACACACCCACCACTTCAGTCCAGCAGCAGATGTCGCCTTCATCATCAGCTCTCGCGCGCTCTGCCAGCCCCCCGTTGGCTTTGATCACAGCCACAACACAACACAACACAACACAAATGGTGCCCTTCCTCAGACCGACGTAGAAAGAATAAATCATGTGGTTCTTTTAGTAAATTACAATCGTCATTTGGCCGAGCACCAGCGCAGAGCCTTCCATCTCGTAGTTCACAGGGTTCTAATAGAGTTGAGTTTGGAATTTGCAGGTCGGTTGACTGTGAAATGAAAGTTACATTTTGTGAGATTTTCAAGTGGCGTATTTCCTCTATTGTGGCGCTAATAACTGGTTCGAGCTTTCAACTGGAACTGAATAGAATCCGGCCACTGGCAGCCTGCACCTTTCATTATGGACAGACACCCTTTGGTCAGGATTGGTCACACAACTGTAAAGAAGAAGAGAAAATACCGTACGTCCAGCCTGTGTCAAGGCCGTATCGGAGAGGTCTGCATAGACAAGACCTCTATTGTACAGTATCTTCATATTTTACACATTTTCAGAGAGAGGGAGATAGAAAATACACTGCTCAGTCTTTGTTGCCGTTTCTCTCTGCATGTACAAGTTTGACAAAACCAGGAAAATGGCAGCATTCAGAGTCAGAATAAGTCTTACGTATATATACTCGGCATAAATGGCCTATTTGATCTCTGCGCTATTTTATTACTTCCATCAGAACCTCAATCAGAATTCGTTTTATTGCCAAGTTATAGGAGTCACAAACTGGGAATTTGCTTTGACTCATGGTGCAAATATTTTATACACGTAAAATGTTTAAGGCCAACATATAGAATCTTCATGGAATTTAAAAAAATGAAAACTATGTACAAGTGCACGCAGTACTAGTAATGCATTAGACGCGATAAATATTAAACTCATTTACCAAGGGGCAAAAATGACATTTATCGGGGCATATGTCTCAAAGTAATGTCAAAGCAAGTATGTATGTAATGTTTATTTATATAACGCATTTCACAAACCAAAGTCAGCGTACAAAGTCCAGAGTTTGTTTCATTCCCTCCACACGGTGATGACAGATGCGTTTTGTCGTTATTGATTTAGTTATGTTGTTATTGATTTAGTCCTTTTTAGTTCTGTGCCACATGGTATTTTACCAGTGAGATCAGCTCCATACGGTGAGTTCTGGCGCCAGGATCACAGACTTTCTGATTGGTGAAACGGTGGAGGGCGGGACATTGAAATGAAAAAAGTAACAAGATTCAGGGGCTGGAAAAGTAATTTTGAAATCCCAATATCTTGAGTGAACTAATATCATCCGTCAAAGAAGTATTGGAAAAAAGCCTGTTTTATAAATGCTTTTTGACAGATTAGGGCCCTTTAATGATTACATGAACATTTTACATGTTGCTACTTTATTTATTTGAAGTCTTAATGTCTTGGTCTTCCTTTCTGGTCAAATTCTGAATAATGCTAAAAAACAATACATATTTCGAGTGTGCGTCCGTGAACAAAACACCACACAACCTCCCACTAACACACAACCTGCCACTAACACACAACCTCTCACCAACACGCAACCTCCCACTAACACACAACCTTCCACTAACACGCAACCTCCCACTAACACACAACCTCCCACTAACACGCAACCTCCCACTAACACACAACCTCCCACTAACACGCAACCTCCCACTAACACACAACCTCTCACCAACACGCAACCTCCCACTAACACACAACCTCCCACTAACACACAACCTCTCACCAACACGCAACCTCCCACTAACACACAACCTCTCACTAACACACAACCTCTCACTAACACACAACCTCCCACTAACACACAACCTCCCACTAACACACAACTGAGAGGGAGAGAGACAGATAGAAAGAGAGACAGAGAGAGAGACAGAGAGAGACAAAGAGAGAGAGAGAGAGATAGAGACAGAGAGAGAGACAGAGAGAGAGAGACAGAGAGAGACAGAGAGAGAGAGACCGAGAGAGAGACAGAGAGAGACAGAGAGAGAGAGAGAGAGAGATAGAGACAGAGAGAGAGAGAGAGAGAGAGACAGAGAGAGAGAGAGACAGAGAGAGGGTGATAGAGCCAGAGAGAAAGAGAGACAGATAGAGAGAGAGACAGAGAGAGAGAGAAACAGATAGAAAGAGAGACAGAGAGAGAGAGACAGAGAGAGACAAAGAGAGAGAGAGAGAGAGAGAGACAGAGAGAGACAAAGAGAGAGAGAGAGAGAGATAGAGACAGATAGAGACAGAGAGAGAGAGACAGATAGAGCCAGAGAGAAAGAGAGACAGATAGAGAGAAAGAGAGACAGATAGAGAGAAAGACAGACAGATGGAGAGAAAGATAGAGAAAGAGAGACAGCTACAGCAGATTTGTCTCCACCTTTTCTGGATATTAGATCAACAAATCAGTGCGGGGCTCGTGCCGGCTGCGCTCTCTGGTTCCCGAGCAGCTGGACTCTCTGTGTTGCCGGGCGGGATAGAGACCGGCTCCAGCGGCGCCCGGGTCTGTGTGTGTGGCGTGCGGCTGTTAGATGAGCCATTGATCCCTCCCAGCAGGACCCGTGCACCACGCGGGCCTGGGCCTCCTTCCCGTCCGCCTTCACCTCCGCACCATTGACTTTCTGCCACGCCGTTCCGCCGCCGTGGCAGGCCCTGACATTTAATGATCCTCTTATGGAGCAACGTCACATTTGTCACGCGGTGGCAGCGGTGATGGGCCACTTCTCCAGCCGCACCGACAAAACAAACAATATTCAGCTTCAAAAGAAAGAGCTGCGACGATCACCTCGAACCTCCAGGATCAGGAAATACACGTTATCCAATTATCAAGGTCTGTATGATTGATTATTTCATGTTTATAATGTTTGCAAATATAAGCTTGAAATACATATTTAATATACTAAATACCGATCTTTCTTTCTCCATCCCTCCCCATTTCTCAATCTCCATCTCTTTCTTTTTCTTTCTTTCCTGTCTCTCTCTTTATCGGTCTCTCTCTCTATCTGTCTCTGTCTTGTCTCTCTCTCTCTCCCTATCTCTCTCTATCTGTCTATCTCTATCTCCCTCTATCTGTCTCTCTCTCTATCTCCCTCTATATGTCTCTCTCTCTGTCTCTCTCTATCTCTGTTTATCTATCTATCTCTATCTGTCTCCACCTCTCTCTCTCTCCCTGTCTATCTCTATCTGTCTCTCTATCTGTCTCTCTCTCTATCTGTCTATCTCTATCTCCCTCTATATGTCTCTCTCTGTGTCTCTCTCTATCTCTATTTATCTACCTCTCTCTGTCTCCATCTGTCTCTCTCTCCCTGTCTCTCTCTATCTCTATTTATCTATCTCTCTCTGTCTGTCTGTCTCTCTCTCTCTCCCTGTCTATCTATATCTGTCTATCTCTATCTCCCTCTATCTGTCTCTCTCTCTGTCTCTCCATCTCTATTTATCTATCTCTCTCTGTCTCCATCTGTCTCTCTCTCCCTGTCTATCTCCATATCCCTCTATCTGTCGCTCTCTCTATCTCCCTCTATATGTCTCTCTCTATCTCTATTTATCTATCTCTATCTGTCTCCACCTCTCTCTCTCTCCCTGTCTATCTCTATCTGTCTCTCTCTCTATTTGTCTATCTCTATCTCCCTCTATATGTATCTCTCTCTGTCTCTCTCTATCTCTATTTATCTATCTCTCTCTGTCTCCATCTGTCTCCATCTGTCTCTCTCTCGCTCCCTGTCTCTGTCTCTCTGTCTCTCTCTCCCTGTCTCTCTATCTGTCTCTCTCCCTCTCTCTCTCTCTCTCTCTCTCTCTCTCTCTCTGTATATCTGTCTTTCTATCTTCTTTCTTTCATGGTATAAAAATATAAGTTTTAAATAAATACTTATAGTTCTTTGTGTTATGAAGTCTTTGGTTGTTGTTTTTTCCCCGCTCTGGTAAAAGTATGTATAATACTGTATTCTGGTGAATATCCATGGCACCTGTGGATCATTTTAACATAGACATATTTTGAAATATAAAGAAATAATGAATGAACGTATGGAAAGCAGACAGAGCCAGACTCAGACTCATGCGCACACGGATTCTCTGCTTAAAACATTTACTTTCCACATGATTCCATTAAAATTTGCAGCAGACAAATAAAAGCAGTCGGCGACAGCTTTTTCTGTCGTTTCAATTCTGAGAAATAATTTGACTGTCGCTGTTTCTCTCCAGGACAAAAGCACATCTAGCCTGGCTCCAGCCGACCTTTAGCCCCGCTTCCATGGAGTTTCTGCGGGCAGGTCGGTCTGGCATTCCTCAATGGAAAAAGTATTATGCCCGGTACGATACATACCGGGCCAGTCAGAGTGACAGGGCGGGCTTCATGTGATGGTTGACAGGTGAGCAACAGTAACGTCAGCATCTACGTCATCAAAGAGCGCCAGGGCAGAATACGTTCAAAACAAACATGCATTGCGCTAGGGAGGTGAGATGTGTGGATTCTGCTATTGATTCTGTTTTACAAGACATGAACAGAGAATTCATCTTGAAATATGAACAGAGAAACGCTATCAAGGCATTTGTGAGTGGAAAAGATGTCCTAGCCGTGCTCCCGACGGGATTTGGTAAAAGTTTAATTTATCAAACTGGCCCCGATGGTCGCGAAGAAGTTGGGACACCGGGAATACCAAAAGTCATTAAAGGTTAGTACAGGAGGCTAAGAGAAGACAAAGATGAGAGCCAAGTAAAATAAAGCAAGTTAAGGAGAATAAGAAGATAAAGTGAAAGAAAAAGGAATAAAAAAACACGGGAAAAGAAAAAGAAAAGGCCATGAAGGGATGAGAGGGGAAGATAAAGAAGAGAAGAGGAAGAAAAGAGAGACGAATGAAGTAAATGTACATGGGAAGAAAGAGAAAAAAATAAGAAAAGAAGGAAGGAGGGAGGGACAGGAGACGTAATGAAGAAAGAGGAAAAAGAAGAAGAGTACTGACAGTGAAGATAAAAGGAAAAGAGACAAAAGAAGAGCCATCCCAACTAAGGTTTGAGGAGATAATAGAGGAAGGGAGCAAAAGAAGAAATGAAAAAAAGGGAATCGTATAGGAGGACTGGAAGGTGAAGAAGAACATAGCAATAAAATAAGGAAGGGAGGAGAAGAATAAAAATAGAGAAAAAATCGAAACAAAGAAAGAAAAAAGAGTAAAGAGAAAAATTGACAGACGCGGAAGGGGAATACGGGCATTAAGGAAAGGAGTGTGAAAGAAAGAGTTAAAGAGAGATTAAGAAAAAAAAAAACAAAGAAAGAACGAAAGAATAGGGGTGAGGAAAGAAAGAAAGATAATAAAAGGAGGAAAATAAGGCGAAAAAAGAAAAAAGGGTAGAGAAGAAAACCCGAAAGGAAGAGGACAGAAGAGGGATAAGTGGGAAGAACAAAAGCGGGGGAAGAGGAGAGAGGAATAGATAAGCATAAAAGAAAAGTAAAGTGAAGCAATTTAAGAAAGGAGGGGAAACAGGAGGAAAGTTATGAAGGATGGAGAAGCGAACGGCACAAGGAAAAGAAAAAGAAGTGGGGAAAAAGAGAAGATTATAAGAAAAGAGGGGAAGCGAGCAAAGAAGGAAAAAAAGAGGACGGAGCAAAAAGAGAATAAGAAAAAGCATGGGCACGAGACAAAAAAAAGGAGGGAAGGAGAAGAGTAGGAAAGAACAACAGGGAATAAAGAATAAATTAAAAATGAACCGACAATGAAAGAGGAAAAAACCAAATTAGACCAAAGATAAAGTGGGAGAGGGAAAAGTGGAAAGGAACGGAAGATAGTAGTAAGAAACAGAAGAATCGAGAGAGGGATAATGGAGAAAAAGCAAGGGAAGAAAGGAAGAAATGAACGGAAATTACAAAAAAAAAGGCAATTACATGACATGTAGAAGATAAAAGGAGAAGGAGAAATAGGATAGAAGAAACGAAGACAGAAATATAGAAGAGACTGGAAAAAATGCATTCAGGAAGGAGGAGAGAAAAGGAAAGGAAAAAGTGAACGAGGAAGGTGAGTACAGAGCGAAAGGAAAATAAAGAAAAAGCATGAAAAGCGGAAGAAAAAAGAAGGGGAAGATAAAGGGGGAACAAGGGAAAAACGTTGGAAATAGAGAAGAAAGGGTCGGGCGGGGAAGAAGAGGAGGAGAGAGGGCACGAGCATATAAGTTGAGAACGTTGGGCAACTGAAAACGAAGAGAGGGGGTGAAGGAGGAATTGAATCTTCGGGAGGAGACATAGAAATGGAAACACGGACGGGGAAGAAGAGAATTAAGTAAGGGTGTAATGGGAAATGAGAGGAGAAATTGGTGGAAGAAAAGAAGACAGACGGAGGGGAGAAAATGACGTTGAGTGAAGGCCCGAGGGAACCAGGTGTGGTGGGAGGGGAGTGATACTAAGATAGAAAAAGAGCGATGTAGAGAAAAGAGCAAGAAAAGAAGGAAGTATAATGGAGACATGTAATGAGATTAGATGCTAAAGAAGTAACAAGGAACTGAGTAAGAAGGGGAGGATGGGAAAAAGAGCGGTGGGGAGAGATAGGGGGATATGGGGGGAGGCTTGACGGAGAAGTGAGAAGGGAAGAATAACGAAAGGGAACATAAGGGATTAAGCAAAGAGTCAAGAATGAGCGAGGGATGAAAGGAAAAGCAGAAAGGAGCCGAAGAGGAAAGAGAGAGAGAGAAGAGAGGGAAAAAGAGAAAAGAGAGAAGAGGAGGTAGAAGAGGAGGAAGAAGTAGAGAGAAGAGGAAGACACGGATGCGACGAGATGGAGAGACGAGAACGAGAGAGAGAAGGAGATGAGAAAGAGAGAGTAGCATGAGAGAGAGAAGGCCTTCCGAGAGGGAAATGAGAGAGGAGAGATTTAAGAGAGATTCAATGGAACTGAAGATATAGAACCTGACGAGGGGGGATAACGATTTTGGGAGAGGGAAAGAGAGAGGAGATAGAGAGATCGGAGGGAAATGTTTGAAAGGGGAAAAGAAGAGAGGATACGAAACGAGAAGGGAGAAGACGTGAGGCGTGGTGAGGGGGAGAAAAGATGAGACGAGGAGGGAGATTTGAGAGCCGGAGAGGAAAGTGAGGATGAAGAATGAAATGAGAGGACGAACGAGTCGCTCGGGGAGTATAAGGAAAAGGTGAGATTGGAGAAATGTGATGAGAGTGCCCGTGAGACATTGGAGCGATGAGGGATTGATGGCGACTGAGAGATTAGTGAAGACGTTGTGTCCGAGTCGGTGTGTCCCCATGAGAGTCAGTGAGAGACGGTCGCGAGCCGTGAGGGGAGCGATTGATTTAGAAGAAGAGAACAGAGCCGACGGTGTGTCGGATGGAGGTTCTCCGAGTGTCTCGAGGAGTTGGAGGAGGCGGAGTGGAGGAGAGATGATGCGATTAAGAAGCGCAGCTGGGAGGGATTGGTGAATTGGAGTGGGAGGATAGACGAGGGGTGAGGGAAGGAGGGGGGGGCCGAGAGGTGTGTCCAGTGAGGTGTCGAGACCCGAGGAGAGAGGGAGGGAGATGAGAGTAGACGGGGACGAGCGAGGTGGGGAGAGGTGGAGGGGAGGTAAGACGGGATGGGAAGTCGGCCGGGCAGAGGAGATGGGTGTGAGAGAGAGAGCCGACTTGAGATGGGGGAGAGGTAGGAGAGGATTGGAATGGGGATGCATGAGACGCTGGAGGAGGCTGACAGGAGGGTGGATGGGAAGTTTGCTGTCCTACTCGCGAGAATGAGAGGACGTTTCCGAGATATGGAGATATGAGACGACGGTTGAGTGTCATGGGGACTCCGGGCGGAGGAGACTGTGAGCTGAGAGGAGGAGGAGTTTCAGATAGAGAGAGGAGGGAGCCCGGGGACTGTTGGATGAGGATCGCGGGGAGAGTGAGAGCAGCGAGCGACGAGACGGTCGAGGAGAGGGAGAGGGGTGGATGATGATATTGGGATTGGTGTTGTGAGGATGGGGGGTAGCGATGGGCGATGCGGATAACGTCGGAGAGAGGAGAGGAGATGAGAGGAGAGGAGAGGGAGTTTGAGGAGTTGTGAGAAGGCCCAGTTGTGAAGCTGAGGAGAAGGATGGAGAGGAGGTGACGAGAAGGTGGTGGACCGCGTCGTTCCCTGGTGTTACTCGGGGGAGTGGAGGCTTGGATGAGGGACGAGGAGTGAGGGGACAGGGGGGCTGAGAGAGCGGGATCTGAGGGGAGAGACGAGGGGATGGGGTGAATTTGGGGGAAACTCGGGAGACGGGCTGTATGAGGAGAAGAAGAGGAGCGGATTGGAGGAGGGAGCCGGGGTGGGGGGGATTGAGGGGGGACGGAGCCGATGAGGGTAGAGCGTGAATTGGTCCAGTGGACCCGGAGACGGAGTAGAGATGAGAGCCGGACGGGGAGTCGAGGAGGAGACGACGGTGTTGAGGCTCGTTCGGGACCCGGGATCCGAGGACGGGGGAGGAGGGACGGAATCCCCCCGGAGTTTCAGGAAGAGGGCGGGAGGGGAGTAAGGTTAGATGCGCCGTGGGACGGAGTGATTTTGTCGGGTTCCTGCTTGAAGGTTTTGAGAGGGAGAGGAGAGACTGAGTGGAGATCGTGAGGGGAGGCGAGGGGAGAGATCCATGAAGGAGAGATGGAACGAGTGAGGAGGAAGCAGTTGAGAGGCTTCTTGATTGTGAGGATGTGTTGAGAGGAAGTAGAGACGAGTTAGCGAAGGGGTTGGAGGAGGGAATGGGAGCGAGGTTATGGGGATGGTTTTGACGGAGGAGTGAGGGCTATTTGTAATTGGAAGACCGAGAAGCCGAGGGAAGGGGAGTAGCGATGGGGGTATGCATGGAGGTGGATGACGGAGGGAGAGTAGGTGTTCTGCGTGATTGGGATTGGTGGAGACGGTGTCGACGTGGGTGGATTGGGCTTTGGTAGAGAGGTGGCTGGGGGCGAGAATTGAGTGCGTGGTGTGAGGGTAGATAGGTCGTGCGTACGTTCTCGGAACGGAGAGGTTGACAGGAGAGATGGCCGGATTGAGAGGTGGGGGGGGGTTCGAATGTGAGGAGGTGAGCGGAGGGGATCGTGGTGTGTGGATGAGAGGAGAGATCGGAGGCTTAAGCGGCGTGACGATCGGGAGGATTTGATGGATTGTGACGATTGAGTGGGAGAGAGACTGAGAGGAGCGAATCGGGAGCGTGATCGATGGAATGAGGGCGGGATGAGTGTGAGGTTGGAGAGGGGTATCGTGGAGAGAGGGGGAGGGGGAGAGCGGATTGAAGTGGAGAGGCGAGTCTGGGAGGAGGGGAGTGAGACTGGATTGAGATGAGAGGCGTTGCGGATGAAGGGAGAGAAGAGAGTTTCGGGGGAGACGGTACCGAGGAGTCTGCAGGACGCTTGGTGAGCGAGAGAGAGCGAGGACCGCGGATGAGGAGATATTTTGGAGGCTGACGAGCGAGAGGAGAGAGAGCTTGGGGAGGTGGCGGGAGAGCGCAGAGACCGGATGAGCGAGAGGGGAGGAGGCCCTTTGGGGGGGCAGGGAGAGAGCTGCGACGGAGGAGGAGACTTGCGTGAGGAGAGGTTGAGGGTGACGGCTGTGCGAAGTCAAGTGAGGAGAGAGTTGTCTGGAGATCGACGTGGGGGGAGGTGAGGGGAAGCCGTGTGGAGGGCGACAGGGAAGTCGGAGTGAGGGGAGGGTGTTGCGAGAGAGAGAGAGACTAACGAGAGAATTGGAACGGGAGAGGGAGCTGAGAGTGGGAGAGTGGCAGAAAGAGCCGAGAGAGCCTCGCGGTCGAGACAGTGAGTGGAGAGTGGGAGCGAGAGAGAGAGATAAGTAGACTGGACGGGACGAGAGATATGTGATGAGTCGGTAGCAGGGAGGAGTGAGTGGGAGAGTAGATGATGTTGAGGGAGGTGAGAACGAGGGAGGAGATGAGATTGAGAGATGAGAAAGGGAGAGGGGGGTCCTGAGAGATTGGAGAAGGAGAGAGGACGGGACGTGGGAGTTGGAGGGAGTGGATTGAGAATGTGTGGAGCTGAGGAGGAGGATCCAGAGAGGAGAGAGTGAGTAGGAGAGAGAATGAGGATAGACTGAGGAAATGGAGAGGAGTAGAAAGAGAGAGGGAGGAGAGGGAGCGAGAAGATGGTTGAGAGGATAGAGCCCCGAGAGTTGAGAGGAGGGAGGGAGATGAGATGAAGGGGAGACCGAGAGCGACTGTGACGAGGAGGTGGGTGATCGCGTCGTGGCAGGAGTGAGGAGCGCGAGCGAGAGGAGAGGCAGGAGAGTACGAATAGAGGAGGTGGAAGGTGGAGGAGCGAGGAAGGAGTAATTATGGAGGGCGAGTGCTGCGGAGAGATGAAGAGTAGGGGAGGAGGAGGTGAGGAGGGAGGATAGGGAGGAGAGGGGGGGGTGACGAATGATCCTGGAGAGGTGAGCGGAGGAAGAAGAGGGACTTTCGGAGAAATTGATGGCCGGAGCGTGGTTAAGCCTTAAACGTGTATAGAGAGGAAAAATCCGGTTTCTTTTTCTACTTGGAGATTTAAGGTTTCAGTAGTGCTGCATTTGTCTGTACTTGTACACTGCAAAAAGTAGTTAATGTGGCATACTTTGCATAATGTATCTTAATTTGAGCACATTTTATTGCCTTAAAACAAGATTTCCCAATGGGACAATGAGAAAAATGTTGGTTTTAGGAAGTGATTTAAAAGAAGATACTGATGGAGCAAGCCTCATGTATCTATATATACTGTATGTCCAGGGATTAGGAAATGTACTGTTGTTAGCTAATCAGAATGGGGCAGACTCTGGTTAGGTTTATATATTTTTAAATTATGAAGATGAGATGTTGCTGCCGTACAGTGTTCATGGTTTTGCACTGGTCCAGACCGGAGCGGAGAGGATTCATGGTCCATACCAAGTGGATCAGATGAAAATCCACTGGAGGAATGCTAACTTTATGAAAAATGCTAATGAAGCATTTAGAATTTTACTTTGGACTAGACCTGTCCTGCTCTATCTATCTATCTATCTATCTATCTATCTATCTATTGTATCTATTGCATCTATCTATCTATCTATCTACTGTATCTATTGTATCTATCTATCTATCTACTGTATCTATTGTATCTATCTACTGTATCTATTGTATCTATCTATCTATCTACTGTATCTATTGTATCTATCTATCTATCTACTGTATCTATTGTATCTATCTACTGTATCTATTGTATCTATCTATCTATCTATTGCATCTATCTATCTATCTATCTATCTATCTATCTATCTATTGTATCTATCTACTGTATCTATCTATCTATCCTGTATGGAAAACAGTTCTGTCCTGTAAGTTCTGTAAAGCTAAAAGCATGTTAAAAAGTGTGTGCTTTTACTTTTTAACTGCTTTTAGCTTTACAGAACTTACAGGACAGAACTGTTTTCCATACAGGATAGATAGATAGATACAGTAGATAGATACAATAGATAGATAGATAGATAGATAGATAGAATAGATAGATAGATAGATGCAATAGATAGATAGATAGATACAATAGATACAGTAGATAGATACAATAGATACAGTAGATAGATAGATAGATACAATAGATACAGTAGATAGATAGATAGATAGTAATAGATAGATACAATAGATACAATAGATAGATACAATAGATAGATAGATACAATAGATAGATAGATAGATACAATAGATACAGTAGATAGATAGATAGATAGATGCAATAGATACAATAGATAGATAGATAGATAGATAGATAGATAGAGCAGGACAGGTCTAGTCCAAAGTAAAATTCTAAATGCTTCATTAGCATTTTTCATAAAGTTAGCATTCCTCCAGTGGATTTTCATCTGATCCACTTGGTATGGACCATGAATCCTCTCCGCTCCGGTCTGGACCAGTGCAAAACCATGAACACTGTACGGCAGCAACATCTCATCTTCATAATTTAAAAATATATAAACCTAACCAGAGTCTGCCCCATTCTGATTAGCTAACAACAGTACATTTCCTAATCCCTGGACATACAGTATATATAGATACATGAGGCTTGCTCCATCAGTATCTTCTTTTAAATCACTTCCTAAAACCAACATTTTTCTCATTGTCCCATTGGGAAATCTTGTTTTAAGGCAATAAAATGTGCTCAAATTAAGATACATTATGCAAAGTATGCCACATTAACTACTTTTTGCAGTGTACAAGTACAGACAAATGCAGCACTACTGAAACCTTAAATCTCCAAGTAGAAAAAGAAACCGGATTTTTCCTCTCTATACACGTTTACATATTACCAACGAGAAAGAAGATCTCAAAACAAACTCTGCAGTCCCCACTTCAGTTTAGTCGTGGGATTAAACTCCTAAAACCACTTCAGACAAAAGTAGCAGCAGGCGACCAGGGGACCAAGGGAGAACCGGCAGACATATTGGATCAGGGCAGTGAGTGGAGCCAGAGCAGTCCCAGCGGCTTCTCTCTCTCTCTCTCTCTCTCTCTCTCTCTCTCTCTCTCTCTCTCTCTCTCTCTCTCTCTCTCTCTCTCTCTCTCTCTCTCTCTCTCTCTCTCTCTCTCTCTCTCTCTCTCTCTCTCTCTCTCTCTCTCTCTCTCTTTCTCTCTCTTTCTCTCTCTTTCTCTCTCTTTCTCTCTCCTTCTCTCTCCTTCTCTCTCTCTTCTCTCTCCTTCTCTCTCTCTTCTCTCTCTCTTCTCTCTTCTCTTTTCTCTCTTCTCTCTTCTCTCTTCTCTCTCTCTCTCTCTCTCTCTCTCTCTCTCTCTCTCTCTCTCTCTCTCTCTCTCTCTCCTCTCTCTCCTCTCTCTCTCTCTTCTCCACTCTGCTGTTTGTCCACCTCATTCAGCATCAATTGCATTTGGAATGAGACTATTTCCAAATCCCTCCCGGTCTCACCCTCTCTCCCACATTTGACAACCGCACATGAAAGCACTTACTTGGCCGGACTTCACCTACGCCTTATCAGTGGGAATGGCAAAGTAAGAATACTCTCAATAATAGATAGAGAGGACTTTTTGGAAGGCGATCTTTTACGGGGGGTTGTAAGAAATATTCAAAGTAATAGTCAAGGATTTGGAGAAGGATATGTAAAGCTTTTGCCTCCGTGACCAGGGAGCGGAATGTCTGTGAAAGAAGTCATCTACGGAGACTTTAGGATGTGGTGAATCTCCGGTATTTCAGGATTGTATGAAATGTTTGAGCATAAAACCTGATTTTCTCTGTTACATGTGTGAGATATTCAATACATGTTATACATTACATACATTACACACGCTAATGGATCATAAATATACTGCTGAACCCTCCATTGGAAACGAAGGAGATGTTTTGTGCTTGGCTGAGCACAGGGACTGGCCTCATGCTCTGACTCTGAGGAGCACACGGACTGGCCTCATGCTCTGACTCTGAGGAGCACACGGACTGGCCTCATGCTCTGACTCTGAGGAGCACACGGACTGGCCTCATGCTCTGACTCTGAGGAGCACAGGGACTGGCCTCCTGCTGGTCCCAGACTCAGAACTAAATGAGAGGCAGAAATTTGGATTTATGCAGCAAAATCTGGAATAGTTTTCCTGAAATTCAAGGTTAAAAATAGTTCTGTTTAGCTGTGTGTACAACTTCACTCTGTTTGTTGCACTGTGAATATAGGCCAGTCCCTGTACTCCTCAGAGTCCCAGCAGGAGGCCAGTCCCTGTGCTCCTCAGAGTCCCAGCAGGAGGCCAGTCCCTGTGCTCCTCAGAGTCCCAGCAGGAGGCCAGTCCCTGTGCTCCTCAGAGTCCCAGCAGGAGGCCAGTCCCTGTGCTCCTCAGAGTCCCTGCCATTGGGGGCGGGTCCAAGCTCAAAGTGGCCAAAATGACGTGCGCTGACATGATGCAATACCACCCCGGGCCTGTGGGGGTGGACCCGGAATAAGAATTAGACAATGCTAACATATAGCATTAGCAGACCTCTCAAAAACGTCTTTACAGGATGGTCCAAAAGTGGCTCTTGGCCCAAAGCTCAGTTCCACATGTGTGTCAATGCTGAGGGGGGTGTTCTGGACCACTCTAGTTTAGTCGCTGTGAATTTTTGAAGTCACTCGTTTCAATGAATGGAGCTCGTGCAGCTGACGCATGCACAGATGTATTTTTTCACATTTTCCAGCCCATGCGGTCATTTTGAATTACTCCATGAAAGCCGAATTTTTTGCCCATTAGTTAGAACGGCAGAGATAGGCGTGACTACGTCCGTTAATATATACAGTCTATGGTCCCAACAGGAGGCCAGTCCCTGTGCTCCTCAGAGTCCCAGCAGGAGGCCAGTCCCTGTGCTCCTCAGAGTCCAATAAGTCTCTATACTACAATAACTAATCAAAGCCAAGAGTGACTTTGTGGCTTTGGGCAAGAGACTTGCCCGTTTCTTGCTAGAAATGAAAACTTTTTTTTTTTTTTGCGCACACAACACACAGACACGATTTATCACAAGTGGAATTATTCTTAAGTGACTCATTATTTGGCGAGAACAAACACATCCCTAGTGCGCCTCTCGCCGGGAGCGAAAGGTCTGAATTACATCTGAATAGAAAAAAAAAATGCAATGTAAGTTAAAATTATGACTCTAAGGTCGAATAATTATGCATCCCACGGTGTTATGCATAAAACGAACGCCTAACTAATTTTGACCAAGAGAAGGAAACGCAAGAAAGAGAGAGAGAGAAATAATAACGGTGGAAAGACATTGAACGAGATGTGCTAATTTATAAAAGGCTTGAGGAATCGTTAATTAAGGCAATATGCAGGAATGGGAGAAAGTGCTGAGTCCCGGAGACACAAAATATTTATTCATCAGCCTATTAATGTTTAATTCCTTTTGCTCTATTTTAAAACGGAGAGAGGGCGGTGGGTGCAAAGCTTTGAACAGCTGACCTCCTGCACCAGTGTGGGCGGAGTCTGCACGGTCTCCGGGACCGGTCCAAATCACAGAGGGAGGGAACGTGTCCGGTCCAAGAGAATCCCAAAGTAGTGGTTCTGTAATTTTCCGCGGCAGAAATGGAAGCAGTGATAGAACCAATGCTGACGTGATTAAGAAAGATTAGACGTGAGCAGGCGTTTTAAAAGTGAAATCTACTCCTGGTGTGTTCCTGACTTTCAAAACCTTTATTCTCTGAGAGTCCACCGTGATGTGTATTATTCTCAGGTAATTCTGGGTTAAACTGGGTCCAATCTTTGCCTTTGTCAAAGCCTAGCAAAGCATATTTATCGCTGGTAAGCCGCTAATTGTTGCCACAGACGCCCTGGGGCAGACTGATGGATGCAGGACTGCCTGTGTACACCATTAGCACCTTCAACTACACCTCCGTTCTCTCTCTCTGTCTCCCTCTGACTCTGTCTCCCTCTCCCGTCTTTCTCTCTGTCTGTCTCTCTCTCTATCACTCCCTGTCTCTCTCTCTATCACTCCCTGTCTCTCTTTCTCTGTCTGTCTGTATCTCTCTCTCTCTCTCTATCACTCCCTACCTCTCATACTCTGTCTCTCTCTCTCCGTTTCCCTTTGACTCTGTCTTTCTCTCTGTCTCTCGCTGTCTCTCACTCACACAGTCTAAGGCACATTATTTTGAAGGACAAAAACCCACCCAGAATAGACAGAAACTTGCAAATTGCACACAGATTGCACTTGGTCTTGTCTAATTCAATATCACACTATATGAATAAAAAAGACAACACCAATTGACCATAAAAACAAGATTTCCAACAGTTTTGAACACTCGACAATGTTAACTATACGAATAGACAAAGAATGATCCACAGACTGACTACACTGTGATATGAAACCCACTGACAGGTACTTTGCAACATCTACCTAACTGCATGTTTCAAAGTCCCTGACAGTCTGCACTTCTCCGGAGGAAGACGCCTTTTTCGGGGGAGTTAAAAATTTACTCCACAAAAGAGAATCGAAAAATAGACTCGCATTCATCCGCATTTGTCTTCCGCTCTGGGAACCCTGTGGTCTGGCAGAAAGCGTGTCACTCCATCCCTCTATTCTCTGGGCTCTCGTCGGCAGCCGAGGCATACGTCTTGGCTAAGGAGGCACGGACGGATGGTGACACGTCCCCGCCACATATCATGTCCCACGTAGCGGCCCTCCAGTGATCCGTCAGCTCAGCGAGATGGATGCGGTTCAGAGAGGTGACGCCGAGGCCCCACCAGGAAACAGCTCGAGCCATTTGATTTGTCTGCTGCCTAATTATATGGCAACCAACGACTTGCCAATCACCAGAATATATTGTCTGGTTTTATCTCAGGAACTCATCAAGTCTACCCAATTAAAAGCCGCAATGAGAAAGACATTGCCAGTGAACGGGGCTCTCATTCAGTTAATTCATGATTGCCAATTAAAATAGAATAGCGTGCAAAGTTGTAAAGCTGTCAGGAGGGCCAAGCTAAATTACCCTTTCCCACTTTGAATGATGGATGCGCTCACTGCTCTCCCTTATCTTATTTATTCGACGAGCGAAGCCGGAGCACAGAGAGAGGAGGGGGATAAAAGCAGGAACAGTTTAAAGAGTGTTGTCGCTAATGAAGAAGGTCCTTCGTTTAGAAATCTGCCAGAGGCTGATTGTTTAGCTTCACGCGATAGTGGAGTAAAGAAAAGAGTAGACCTAATTGATTCACGTACAGTGTGTGCATGACCAAAGCCTCCTGTCGATGCGGCGTTGAAATCCACTGGCAAACAGGCGCCAAATTCTACGGCCAAGAAGCAATTAGAGAAAGTGACGGTGAGTTTTTTGCTGAATGCTGCTTCTCCACGACGAGAGGAGACAGTGAAGGTGGATCATGAATCTGTTTGGGATGCGACCTGGATGACTCCCTGGGGCTAGAGACCAGGGGAAGACCCAGGACACTAAAAATATTTGGTACAAACATGCAGTAAATACATGTTATGTTAGTTTTGTGTTAGTTGTGTGTGTTAGTTCAGATAAAAGTTAGGCTTAGATGTACATGGTAAGATTAATAACAAGTTTCAGTTGTAAGTTCCCAAGATCAATGGCAAAGCTGTTTGATAGAGTGACTATGGTTCCTGCCCCAACAGTCTATGCAATATTTATGCTCACTGCATTAATCAAGTTGGCATAAACCAATGTCTATTTCTGGGTCTACAGCCCCAGTCCTGGAACCACAGCCTCAGTCCTGGGTCTACAGCCTCAGTCCTGGAACCATAGCCTCAGTCCTGGGTCTGCAGCCTCAATCCTGTGTCTACAGCCTCAGTCCTGGGTCTGCAGCCTCAATCCTGGGTCTACAACCTCAGTCCTAGATCTGCAGCCTCAGTCCTGTGTCTACAGTCTCAGTCCTGGGCCTACAGCCTCAGTCCTGGATCTACAGCCTCAGTCCTGGATCTACAGCCTCAGTCCTGGATCTATGTGTTTGTTTCTATTGCATTTCTTGTTTTCAAACGGTTTTATTCTCTGATCAGTTGTGGTCAAATCGACAACTTTGTAAAATCCTCCAGGACGCGATAAAGGGCAACACCCACCAAATTGGCTTGAATTGAAGAATTGATCATCTGCTATCGGAAAGACGATGACGAGAGAGAATGCCGGCAAACCTCTCAGTCCATTACAATCACTAACTTCTCCCATAATGCACTACTCCAACATGTTATAACCTGAAAATACACGGCTACATCTGCTGAATACGCTTAAAAACTGCAGCATAAATCCTGCATGGGCCGCTGAAACACAGAGGCCGAGTGTGAATAGTGTCTCTCGTAAATGGACTTTCACAGATTGATGTCCGACAGGCTCCGTTCGCCGCAGTTCACCAAAAGCTTTCAATTCAACCGCGCCATAAATGTGACTGTTCTTTGTCAATACAGCCATTACAATGTGTCCACAACAGTTAAAGCCCGGGCAACTTATCCCTGGGTGTCGTCCGGGCCATTAGCCACCGTTGCCGTAGTATTGATGGTCTAATTAAAACGTGTCAGCTTGAAATATGTCACTTTTTTTCCTTTTTTTCCGTTTCAGAGGCCGGAATTGATAGCTCACATTAATTTTCAGGTTCTCGAAATGACCTTTAATTTAGCTCGGCCTTGTACAACCTCGCGGTCTCGCCTCCTGGAACAATATGTCAATGGGTCTTCTGACAACAATGCCTCTTCTCTCAATGGTGCCAGGCCCTTGTAATTCAGCTTCTGAGAAAATCCAACAGAGAAAAGGTACGATTTATCTCCATCTTTACAGACTGCTTCTTAATAACTCCTCACTGTGAGCTTCTTGTCTTGCATTGCACAAGAAAAACGTGGTAAAATAGGAAATATCTTTTATTATAGCTACATTTTAGTCACTTCTAGAGAAATAAGTCAGTTTGTTTTTATGCCTGCAGTGTTCTAAATGCAGGTAGTAGATTAAAATCACTGGGATTTTTGTTGACTACTCTACTTTAAAATGTACTGGAACTGGCAGAAAGTTCTAAATCGCTCTAAAACAGTTGTTCTGCGTTTTACAGTTGTTATTTTTTCTCGTTTTTTTCTAACTGTAAATGTTACTGCAGCACAGTGTTCATAGTCTTACACAGATCCAGACCAGAGCAGAGAAGTTTCATGGTCCCAATCAAGCAGATCAAGCAGAAATCCACTGGAAGAAAAAAGGAATTTCACTCTGAACCAGAGCAGAGGAAATGGTCTGAACCAAGCAGACTCTGCAAACATCAACGAGAGGAACCAGCTCATCACCAGCGACCACTACAAAGGCATACATACAATTGATTATCCATTTTCTTCCACTTCATCCGTTGCCGGGTCACCTGCAGTTCTCCAACAGGGTTTAACAAAGAATCTATCTTTTCTCACGAATGATGCCAACCCAATAGAAGCTTGTTGAATCACGACCCTAAGTGTTATTTTATGTAAAGTGGCTCTCCTCCTTCCTCAGCCAAAGAAGCCATTGAGAAAAAAATCACAAGTTCCCAGTGTCATCCAGTCAACTTCAGCTCCCCCAACATGTTAAACTTCTTTGGGAAGATTTCTGGAATCATTTGTTTTTTTAATTTACTGAGATTAGCTGCTAATGTTGTTGGTGAGTAAACATTTGCCGGTCAGCCAACTTAAGCATTCCGATCACACCTCTCTTTTCTTGTAGCTGTCCCGGAGGACTTTACAAAGCTGTCAATTCCCCAACACAGATCAGAAAAACACCATTGGTCCATAAGGGGCAGATGACCAATGTCCATACATGTTGATAAAGTCCATAAATGTTGTTGAATGTCCAGCGTCCTGGATCATCACCACTGTCCTTAGACCCTCCCATGGACCAATACCTCTGATTTCTTGTGTTCAGGCAGTTTGAGTCTCTTCTCTGATCTTAGTAAATCCTCCAAGACGACCGCTGATGTGATTTACGACTTTACAAATACAAACTTAAACTGAATTGATATTGAATTGACTGAAAATGTAAAAGACGGTCTTATATCTATGACCATTCAAAGCAGTTCCATTCAGCCATTTAGCTGCTCGTTTTGTAGTCTCCTCTTTATGCTACATCTTGACGTTTACAAGACACTTTTTCAATAGATATATGTCTATTTGAACAAGGGCAGACTGTGACCTTCTGTAGAAAATGAATGAATTTAAATCTCATCAGCCTGATTAGACGGCCATTTCACACCACTCCTGTCATAACGAAGACTGAGAGACCGCGATATACTTTGGTAAAAATATATAACTATAGAAAAACACCCTCAACTGCTTCAGCTTTTAAAATGATCCCTGTCGAAAACTTGATGCCCCTGAGAATCTCTTCAAACAACCTCCTGATGTCGACATGTGAGCGTCTCTGGGCCTTTTCCGTCTCCAAGCTGCGAGGAAAGAGGAGAGAAAAAACCTCGGATCGTCTCCATTTGGGCGACAGTTTGTCCTGGTCCTCATGAGACGTGCTCTGTGGGTCCAGGCTCTTTTCCCACAGATTAAAAGCGAGTGTCGCTAATGTCACTCGGCCGGCGAATCAATGGCTCAGCGTCAGGAAATGAAGGTTGTGACGGAAAGGCGGGTCGGCCACATCTCGCTCCTGTCAGCGTTGGCGTCTGAACCTTCTCTCTGTCTCTCTCTCTCTCTGTGGCAGCTGCTCCGGACCTGAGGGGGGTCTTGTCAAAAAAACAGGGACCAGCCGCGATCGTGAACCGTGGCAAACCCCAAGGGGACGGTCGGCGGGAAAAGGCCTGGCGGCGCCCGGAGACACTGGAAACATTGGCTCAATCAACGGCTGCCACTCTCTCTGCTCTGCTCTGGTCTGGGATCTTTCTTCTTTTCTCTTTCCTTGGCTGGGGAAAGTTTTTCTCATTTCAAGAGAGGGTTTTGTCCTCGTCACTTGAGAAATCAAAGTGGTCCAAGAGCAAAAACAAGGAGAAATGAGGTCAGAGAAGGAATTGGTACATGCAGAGAGACCCCTCTGCCACTTTTAGTACAAGCCATTAGAGGTAAAGTACTACTTCTATCAAAGCAATAGTCTTGGGTAATTGGGAACTAGTCTTTCAGTCTCTATATACAACACATCTTAAGACTTTATATATATGTTTTTTAATCAGTGGGCCGTGGCACTCAGTCTGTCTTGAGATGTTGTTTGGTGCCCCTTTATCATTGGTCAATTTAAGAAATTATACTTCCTTTATTATTCTCTAAGTTTGGCATAATAAAGAAGCAAGTTTACAATCTCTCACTTGATTAAGCTTATGTTAGAGATTTTATACTTCTTTATTATGCTTATGTGACAATGTTCAATCAATGCCTCTTCTGGCCACCCTGGAAAAGCCATGTTCCAGCTTCTTCCTTCTGGCAGAGGATATCGTTCTCTGAGATGCAGGACACCTCGATATGCTAACAACTTCTTTCCACAAGCTGTTATCAGTCTGAACAGAGCACTTTAATGTTCTTGAACTTGTATAGAAAATGTTTTAGTCGATCGATTTCACAGTGACAATTGTTTAACGTTTTATATATTTTTAATCTGTTTTATGTTTGTACTTGTCTTGTACACAATGGGGACTTTTGAAAATGTATTCTTATGTGTTTTTTCCGCAAATGGCAAATAAATGAATCTGAATTATCCCATGCATCTTGACATGAGCTGATGACAGACTACAACCTGGATAATTGTGTTGTTTGTGGAAATTTGACAAACAAAAGCAGAACTTTACAGATGAGAGCCTAGAACACCACAGGTTATGGGAGTTA